TGTCTGGTTTCCAATTGCGGGTTTCTGTTTCAAGCTCCAGTTCCATGATTTCCACACAGGCTTGCAACAGGTTTTCTGTGCTTTGCTTTTCTTGCAGTCTCCTTCCAAGATTTGGGGAAGACTTGGCAAGTTTGCTGTTTAAATTTTCTATGCTGTCCACGGGCCCGCTTCTGGGTCCGGAAATTGTCGAGATTTTGGCCAAGGCTGGAGGGGCCTCCAGAGTAGAGTTTTGACAAAACATATTTAGATGAAATTTTGTATTTTTTATTTTCCAATAGGATTGCCGGCATCTGGGATGGATCAGCACGTCAACCCAATTCGATGGTTTGCAAAGCAATGGAACGCATTCGAAGTGAGACGAGCGGGTTTCGAGTTGCCAGAAAAGCAGAGCGGGTGTTTTGGTTTCGGGAGGCAGCAGTGCGCAAGCATAACAAACAGACCGTCGAGAAACATTCTGGATGCCTTCAACTGTCAAGACCGTTACGGTGTGCATGTCAAGAACAGGGCGATGTTCAAAGCATCTTGATGGAGTTTTCTTGTCCTGCTCGCAAGACGACACCGTGGAGACTCACTCATGCTTCCAGACAGTTCGATGTTTTGAGGAGTTTGACCATTAGCAGTCGTTTCGCCTCGCGGCGTCACGGTTCTGTGCGGCTAAACGGATTATGGAAGGGAACAATACAGGAGGCTAAGAGGCATTGTGTTGAGTGCATCTTCGCGCTCCCGCATCCTGTTGTTTTCAATTGCATTTGTGAGCTTTTCCTTGCTTCTGACACCATGGCTCAATGTGGAGCCGGGTCTATAAGTACGAGGATGACAGGCATGCCATCAAAACGAGCCTTGTGAAGCCCAAGCGTATACTGCGTCGACGGACTGTGCAAACAAACTTCTACTCACCACCAGCTTGACTGTCTAACACCACGGTCCAGAGCTTACCAAGCGCTACCTAGTCTAGAGGGAAAATATCCCAGGGCAAAACGGTTCCATTAGGCCGCCGGGGAACAACTGCGGAATGCCTAACTTGTCCAATGCATCCATTTGTAACCCGCAGGTGTTTGCCATCGGATGTGTTTTTGTTTGCATGCATCTATTTTGTACGTTTTGGCACGTAGCTTTTGAAGCTTATTCTGAGTTATCAGTTCATGATAACAGAGCTTCTTTGCGCTAGCATGATGCATGTAGATGAACACCCATGATGCAACATTTAGGGAGCTCGACTTAAAGGTTTGCAGTTGCCACCCCTCGAGCATGTACTGCGCGGATAAGCCGCTGTCTGCACCTTGTATTTCCTGTGTTTGTTGACTGTGATCGTTGTCGACTCATTTGATATCAGGCTTGATGTTCGTACGGCGCTTGTCCAGGTCTGCTGCGTGTTTAAAATCTCCATTGACTATATTATATGTCGATAAAAATGTTGCCTGAACGAAAACCTGTGACGCTGAAGGACCTGTTGAAATTGACGGAACTCTTGGAACTTCCTGGAGCGTTGCTGTCGGTCCAGTGCCTTCCATCGGCAGGTCACATCCTGAGCCCCTGCTGAGTTGGGGGTGCTGCCTGTTTCAAAAAACGAACATGATATGCTGAGACTGGGACGAGTTCTTGGATGCCCTTCGGACAACTGGAGCCTCTCTTACGAGGAGCGAGTTCTTTTTTCATTTCATGTGTGGCTGCGGATCTGACACAGGTATGGGGCAACAATTTGGCGTTACCTGACGTTGTTGCTTCGAGTTGAAGTTTCTGCCTGAGTCATTTCGATCCGGTTTCTCCAGTTAGGAGGGTTGAATTGCTTTGCTCATCATTTACAAGGTGCAGGGACACTACAGTGAACAAGCTTGAGTGTGGTCCTCAGGTTGGAACTCTGACCCGGAAGAAGTTGGCGACTGCTGTTTGTGCCGCGGACTTACTTTATTCCAGGTTCGTGAGAGATCTGCCGGGATTTGAACACTTCCATGTTCTCGTTTCCCAGCTGCGGCAAGCTGTCGATTTGAAGTTTTCAGACGGAAAGCGACTTCAATATGAATGAAGCCGTGAAGCAAAAACAGTTTGTGCATCTACGTCGCTCGTTTCTCCTTCTCTCGGTTCACATTCGAAGCGGCAAGTGTAACGGCGTAGAGGATGCCGCGGCAGGACACCAGAAGTGGTAAAGCAGAGAAGAAAGCTACAGCTGACTCCCAAACCCGAAACCCCGAACACAAAACACTAAGCTCCTATAGTAGCCGTACACCCTCAACCCGAGCTAGTCGCTGTGAATTGCTCTGAGGTTGCTGCTCTTTCAGTTTCATCTGTGGTAGAGGCTGGCTTGTGGGATGTACGCTCTCACTTGCCTCTGGCCAGTGGAAAATCAGTGTGGGGCAAGACTCACCTCGCTGATTGGTGCAAGAGAAGTCTTGCCTTCAGGAATCAAATGTCGCAGCGATTTGCTCGATGTTAACTGTTGCCGGTGACGGTCTGCGTGGCGCCGCCAGATGCTCATCGCTGTCAGCGGCAACAGGCGCGCAATAGCCGGACAGCGAGCAGAATGTGAAAACATGGTGAGGACTGCCACGACGTTGACTATATTGCCACAAGAGCGCTTTTGCTGCATTCGATGCTTCAGGATCCTTTCATTGTGTGGCACTTGCTGTTCATGCGAAGCTGACAGCCAACCTTCCAACCTTCGGTTTTGTAGTATCATAGAGGCCAGATTGTACAGCAACTGAAAACTTCTGCTTCACAGCAGGTCAACGGGTGCATTGCTTATTTGCGGCTCCTGGCACGCAGTCCAGCGGTGGCTCGTCACGTCATGGATGTGTTCACGATGACCAGCCTTGCGGTCTGGCTCAGTGCCCCATGTCCTGCAAGGCATACACGCCCTCCACTGCCAATGCTCTGCAGGCACACCGCTTCGTCAATTTCTGTTCTACGTGCTATGTCGAAGACGCATGGCCCCATAACAGTCACGTTCGGCTCGAAAAGGAATGGTTTGCAGCTGCTCAGCCTCATGCAACCGATGAACTCGGAGATGCTTGTGACTGCCTTGGCTGATCAAGCTGTTCAGATACGGGCCGGGAGCTAGCGCCAGCTACACCTGTCAAGGTCTGGAATTGGCGACCAGTGCACAAGCTGCATCAGTCTTGAGCATAGCTTTGTCAAGCAAAAGAGGTCGGCATGAAAGGTCAGGTGCCTCGGCCAACATGCACCGAATCACCAGATCTAGGATTTGAGTGTGAATGCAGTGAGAGGTATTGCGTTGTCATGAACGGCTCCGCATGCACTACCCAGGCTAGTGGAATCCTGAACACAGCGTGGAGGCTTTTGAAGGCAGCACGCTATCCCCACGACTTCACGGGACTACTGGAATAAGTTGATGACGCTGCAGGCGTTGTGCTTGGATACCCGCACGGACAGGGTGAGGAGCTTAGAAAGCTCAGTTCGATTGTCGGAGCAGGAGCAGTAGGGAAAGTGGGGCTTGGGCGACCAATATCTACACCTGTATCACAACCGGAGGCGTTCACCGCCCACGTGCTGGCGCATGCTGCTGCTGCTTGTGCACAGGCGGTCCATTGAAAAGCGCGTGAGAAGAACGTCTTGCCTGCGTTTGAGCCGCAGTTCGGCAGGCGGCTTGCCGAGACAGTGAGGAGGCGACGACATTCCAAACCCAAGCTCCTGAAAGTCTTCTGTTTGCCGCTTCGTTTAGGCAATGCTTGCCGCACGGCCAGCGTCTCATGCTGAAGAGAAGCCTGGTTCATCGGTAGCTGGTAGCTGCTAGCTGCTAGCTTAAGTTCAGCGCTGATAGGTTCCATTGCTCTAACTTCCTGCGTCCCGAACTGAGGCTGTGGAAAGCTCTTGTATTTGTGTCCCATTTTGAGCATTTTATCTGAGGTCTGGCGAAAGAGGTGCCTTACGTCAGAATGGCTGCGCACATTCTAAAATACATTTGCGCCTTGCACTGTCCGAACACTGTACAGAACTTACAGTGGCCTTCAGGCGCCATCTCTCCAAGCCCACGGAAAAGGCCAAGAAAACGTGCAGGCAAGACCGTGCTAATGTAGGAACCTAATTCAGAAACCAATGGTCTTTTCACCACAAAATATTAGGATCCATACAAAGAGCCGTAATAAAGACCCAAGGTTTCTTCATATTAGTGTGTGGCAGCGAAGAGGCAATGCTAGCTCCCGTTACGCCGCATGCCATATCTGCAGCTATGGACGTGCCGATCTTGCAAACCAGCTCTTGTAGCCGCAGCCAAGTGCCAAGCGGGAGGCCTTTCCACTAGAAGTCGTACTTTGTGCTGTCCGCTGGAGCCTTTACTTCCGAATACTATTGCCGAAGCGCCGTAGCTTCAACTGTGATAAGGTTCAGAGCTTGGTGGCGTCAGCACGAGTATGCCCAACCCTCTTCTGGAGAAGGCCTGCTGTCTTTATGAAACGATCGCATCCCAATCAGTTTCAATATCTTATGTGCCTAACCCTTGTTGTTCGCAAGTTTCACGTGGGACCGGGGGCACCCGTGTTTTCTTTTTGGCTGTAGTTGCTTTATGTTGGTTTTTGAGGTCGTTGCGCGGACCCTGGAAGCCAGTGAGTGAGTGAGCCCCGGTTCAAGCAACGACAGCAAAAAAAAACGCGCCCCCAACACGACAGCCAAAAAAAGAACGCGCCCCCGCAACGGCAGCAAAAAAAGAACCGCGCCCCCCGGGGACGACAGCAAAAAAGCGCCCTCGAGGATGACAGCAAAAAGAAAAACGCGCCCCCGCAACGACAGCAAGAAAAAAACGCGCCCCCGCAACGACAGCAAAACAAAACACGCCCCCGCAACGACAGCAAAACAACAAAAAACACGCGCCCCCGGGGACGACAGCGAAAGAAAAATGCGCCCCCGGACGCCAACAACAACAAAACAACGAAATAGTCAAAATCGTAAAAATAATGATACTTAATAGTAGTAATAAAAGCATTGGTACTAATAATAGTAATAATAGTAATGCTAGCAATAATGGTAACAAGAATAATACTTGTAGTAGTAGTAATAATAGTAATAGTAGTAATAGTAGTAGGAATCGTCACAATAGCAGGCAATATTAGTACGAGTAGTAAAGTGCGAACAAGAATAACAGCAAGAATCGTCACATGTAGTAAAAATAATGTTCACATCATAATAATAAACCTCCCCCCTCCGGTCGATTGATTTCACGGCCCGGGGGGGATTGATTATTACGGGGGGTTCGGTCGGGATGGATTGATTTGCTGCCGCGTCGTAGTACAGCAATACAGCATTACAATAGTACATTAGCACAGTAGTACAACAATACAGTAGTACAGTGGTACAGTAGTACAATAATACAACAGTACAGTAGTACAGTAGTAGTGTAATACAATAGTACAGTAGTACAATAGTACAATGGTACAGTAGTACAGTAGTACAGTAGTGCAATAGTACAGTGGTAAGTGCAGTAGTACAATAGTACGGTAGTACAGTAGTACAATGGTACAGTAGTCCAGACAGACAATAGTACAGTAGTGCATCAGTACAGTTAGAATAGTACAGTAGTGCATTAGTACATAGTACAGTAGTACAATAGTACAGTAGTACAACAATACAATAGTACAGTAGTACATTACTACAACAGTACAGTAGTACAGAAATACAATAGTACAGTAGTACAGTGTGACAGTAATAGTAGTACAGTATTACAATAGTACAGTAGTGCAGTAGTACAATAGTGCAAGAGTACAGTACTACAAGAGTACAGTAGTACAGTAGTGCAACAGTACAGTAGTACAGTAGTACAGTTGTATAATCGTACAGTAGTACAATAATACAAAAGTACAGTAGTACATTAATTGGTACAGTAGTACAATAGTACAGTAGTACAATAGTACAGTAGTGCATCAGTACGGTAGTACCGTAGTACAATAGTACAGTAGTACATTAGTACAGTAGTACAATATTACTGTAGTACACTGGTACAGTAGTACAATAGTACAGTAAGGAATATTAGTACAATAGTGCAGTAGTGCAGTAGTACAGTAATAGACTAGTACAGTAATACACTAGTACAGTAGTACAATAGTACAGTATTACAATAGTACAGTAGTGCAATTGTACAATAGTACAGTAGTACAGTGGTACAATTCTTGGCTTCTAAAGCTTGCTGTCCCTTTGAAACGAAAGCTTTCCCAATGAAGGGCTTGGCTTCTAAAGTGTGCTTTCCTTTTCCTGGCTTCTGCAGGCATCACCCAAAGGCCCTCCCCCGAGAGGAGTTTATAAAAAAAGGGTGGCTTATAATTAAGGAGAACGGCCATTCCTTAGTACTCTTTTAGGATGCATTGATTTTTTGCTACCGGAATAAGGAGTTTTATTAAAGAAGCTATGGTTTCTGAGGCCCTGCAAATCTGCGGCTTCGGAGTCTCCTGGCTTGTAGAGCAAAGCTTTCCCAATGAAGGGCTTGGCTTGTAAAGCCTGCTTTCCTTTTCCTGGCTTTTGCAGGCATCACCCAAAGTTATTACGGGGGGTTTATAACTACGGAGAACGGCCATTCCTTAGTACTCCCTTAGGATAGATTAATTTTTTGGTGCCGGAATAAGTAATTTTATCAAGGAAATTATGGTTTCTGAGACCCTGCAAATCTGTGGCTTCGGAGTCTCCTGGCTTGTAGAACAAAGCTTTCCCAATGAAGGGCTTGGCTTCTGAAACTTGCTTTCCTTTTCCTGGCCTCTGCAGGCATCACCCCAAAGGCCCTCCCCGCGGGAGGAGTTTATTATTACGGGTGATTTATAATTACGATGAACGGCCATTCCTTAGTACTCCCTTAGGATAGATTGATTTTTTGCTGCCGGAATAAGGAATTTTATTAAGGAAGCTATGGTTTCTGAGACACTGCAAATCTGCGGCTTCGGAGTCTCCTGGCTTGTAGAGCAAAGCTTTCCCAATGAAGGGCTTGGCTTCTAAAGTGTGCTTTCCTTTCCTGGCTTCTGCAGGCATCACCCAAAGGCCCTCCCCCCGAGAGGAGTTTATAAAAAAGGGTGGCTTAAAATTAAGGAGAACGGCCATTCCTTAGTACTCTTTTAGGATGGATTGATTTTTGCTACCGGAATACGGAGTTTTATTAAAGAAGCTATGGTTTCTGAGGCCCTGCAAATCTGCGGCTTCGGAGTCTCCTGGCTTGTAGAGCAAAGCTTTCCCAATGAAGGGCTTGGCTTGTAAAGCCTGCTTTCCTTTTCCTGCTTTTGCAGGCATCACCCAAAGGCCCTCCTCCCTCCTCCCGGGAGGAGTGTATTATTACGGTGGGTTTATAGTTACGGAGAACGGCCATTC